GGGGGGTTGGACTAGATCACCCACAGAGGTCCCTTCCAACCCCTACCATTCTGTGATTCTGTAACTTTTTTTGTGCCCAAGAGGAGTGTTTTTAATACTGTTTTTGTTTAAGCTACTTGCTTTGCCTATGGAAATGCTGATGTATTGACATCTCCACTCCCTTCAAATTTGCTGTTTGATTTCAAGAGAAATGCTGCTTTTTAGACTAATTTTATTTCAGTAATGTTTTTAAGTGTTTCTTCAGTTGAAGGTTTTGCAGCTTCTCATTTCTACAAGTAACTTCCTCTAAATTTTTTTCATGCCTAGAACTAAGGATGGGGTATTTCCTCCTTTCCACCCACTCCCAACCTCTCAGCTGGTTTTTTTGCCTTTTTTTTTTTCCTATTTGACAACATTAAATATTTAAAGTCAGGTGCATATATCTTATGTACTATTCAGAGGGAAGAAGCAGGAGGAAGCAAGGGGAGAACTTAATTTTCCTGGTATTTTTTTTAATATATTGTGCTTGCTAGCAGAAACCAGATTTTACTAACAATAAATTCCAGGATTTCAGTAGATACTGCTGTCAGTAGTAGAAGTAGAGGTTTTTCTCTTGTAAATGAAATAGCTGTTGGAGACATCCACAATGAAATCATGTACCATCTCCAATCATTATGCATACGTTAGGGAGTCATGAGAATCTGTGCCCCAGTACCAGTACTTGGGGTTCATCCACTGATGAGCTCCATGTGAATGCTAAAGGGAAAGATTGAAACAAGAGTATTTCACAGAGAAGCAAAGTAATATTTAGGAGATAAAATATCATTCAAAATGTGGAAAAAAAATGGAAAGTCTCCCTTTAATATGTCTTCTGGGAGCAGCAGCATAATAGTAATAATGTTGATGTGGTCCTTAAGGAAAGGCAAACAACGTCCCATCCTTTTTCGAGCTCTGTGTTGCCTCAGATGGCTTGATATGCCTGCTAGTAACATCCTTTGCCTGTAGCTCCGTCACTCTTCCTCTTGAGCAAAAGCTGCGTAAACAAAACATTGAAAAATTAAACACATGCATCATCATTTTCCTGTCATCTATGTTATTTGGCTGTAACTTCTTCTTACACCATCACTTCCTAGTTTACTTCATGAAATACCTGTGTTGTAGCCTCGCGTACTTGGTGCCCTGGCTTCTCGTGGGGGAGGTGATACAAACTTTCTGTATGTTTTTCTGATTAACTGTAGACTTCTCCACCCATTGTCCTGAACACAGACTCAGTTTAGAGGTCTGGCTAGACAAGCTACTCCTAATGAGAGAGCCCATTAGTTTCAGTTTGCTTCTGAAGAAGTTTGGTATCCTTTGGAATGAAATACTGAAAAGATTTCCTACTCATAGACATGTTGCAGCACTAAGTTATCTAACCTGATGCCGTACTTTGAAGCAGGATGGAATATACCTAAATAATTCCCTGGCAAATATGTGTTTATTAGAAGTCTGTTCTTTAAATTCTCAAGCAAGTGGACTCCACAAACTTAGTTATTCTTTAGTAAGATTGGTTACTGTGACTTTTTTGTGATTTTTGGTAGTTGAGGTTAATTTAATTTAGTTGTTATCTTACTCTTAGTGGACAGAAAGAACAATTTGCCGGTGGCTTTCTTTGACAAGGCAGCAGGCTGAATGGAAAGGGAGACAGAAGTAAACATGTGAAAAGATTCCGCCACCCCTCCATGAAACCAGCATAGAATAAAAGGGAATGTTATTCAAATTAAGCATCCCACATGCAGTTTTGCCATCTGTGGCACCATATTTGGTCTTTATATAATGTTCACAGAAGAAGACTAGCTATGACTATATTGAAAATATTATACCTTAAGCATTTCCCATAAGGTGATGCATCAAGGTGTTACTAATGTGCCTTCCAAAGCCTGTGACAGAGACGAGCCATGCAAAGCCTGGAATAATTCAGCAGTAGACCACAAAAGAATATAAGAAATGCTTTGCAGTATCACACAGAAGTCAAGGAAGCCAGCTTTCTTAGGCAAGATGATGTCATTCTGCTTTGGGATATCATGAGAAAGGGCTCTTAGACTTGTTCTGTGTTTCCTTCAATGTTGATAAATGTTAACGTACAAGAAGGGATTCCCTGCTTAGGACATGACACATCTTAAAGCAAGGGTACTCCAGACACTTCAGTAGATGTTCTCGTCCCTAACCATTTCCTCCATGGTATGCAAAGGATAATGCAAGGTATCTCCACTGAAACTTTGTGGCTCCGCTGCAGTCAGAACAGGAGGAAATACCTTCCAGTGACAGCCAGTCATAGCATGTGGAAAAAATGGGGTGACAAGTACTTTCAGCTTGAAGATTCTTAGGAAGTTTTGCTATAATCTGATTTTTAGTAAGACTTCTAATGCAGTCCCATGTGACATTGTTCACACTAGGTCAGAATCCACCTTCACCTACCCATAATCCCCAGTAGGCTGTAAGTAGAGTGCAAAAACGACACAAACATGGCAATTTCCCC